ATTATAAATTAATTTCGTAATGCAGGCCAAAATCCAAATTTTTCCAAATTTTTTACGTTATCCAAATAAATTTTTGCGATTTGATATCCAAATATTTGTCGCGAGGAAACTTTTGTCGGGCACTGTATATATTTTCTTATTTTGGTAATTATAATTTTTATAAAATTTCTTAAAATTAATAAATAAACGACTAAACATTTTATTATTATTTTCTTTTTTTTTTTTTTTTTAGTACGTACTACTTTCGGGGTCAAATATAATAGTGAATCCCTACTATAAATCAATTGATTAATAATCAATTTTATTAATGGGACCCTATACTATATTTGTCCCTTTCGGGCTCTAATTTAAGATTAAAAATAAACTATACATTCCAAAAACAAAGACTAGATATATTTTTAGTAATATAATTTATGGTTCCTCTTTTGGCACAATCATTTCTCTGTATTGTTTGATAGAATCTCCTTCAAACTTCCTAACTTTTCCAGATTCACAGACCCAAATTTCTGTACAAACGGAATCAATGAATCGTTCATCATGAGAAACGAGGATGACCCCACCTTTAAACCCTTTTAGAGCATTTGTCAAGGCATCGATTGAATCCATATCGAGGTGGTTGGTCGGCTGCATTTTAAAATATCCAATTATATTAGTGATGTCAAAGAAGATTAGATAAAAACTTCTAAATGCTTACTTCATCCAATATTAAGATGTGTGGGTGTTGTAAACCCAAACAAGCGAAAGAAACTCTGCTTTTTTGGCCACCGGACAAAGTCTTCAGTGATTGTAAGCCAGTCATTCCTGTAATGCCAAAATTTCCTAATTGACGTCGATATTCCTCTTCGATTTTCCCTGGAAATTTCTGTGCCATAAAAGCTACTGCGTTCATATCAAGAATCAGTTGATCCACATGATGTTGCATGAAATGTGCAAATCTGAGACGCCCATGTCGGTGCATCATGCCAGAACGCGGCTCTAATGCCCCAGTTAAAAGTTTGAGTAGAGTAGATTTACCTACAAATCCATTTAAAATAATTGTAATATATTCAATCATTAAATTAATAATTATACACTAGGTAAATGGAAACCATTTTAAGTCCGAAGAACAACACGGATCATCCCAACAAAACGGCTATTTTCGGACTACAATGTTATTTTGATCTGATCAACCAATCAAACCCAAGATTTGCGCACAGACATTAGGGTGACTACACCCTACCGTAATGACCTTCGGACAATGATTTATCAATAAATTACAAAAAAAAAGTATTACCCGCTCCATTTGGACCAACTACAGCTATACGTGAATCTAATTGAACAGAAAGGTTGACGTTCGAAAGGATTATAGGACCATTTGGATATCCAAAGCTGACATCATTCAATTGAAGGATAGGCGGACTTAGAGCATCAGGATCAGGAAACCTATTAAAAAGAATTAATGATAGCATAATATCGTGTATATATTGTGATGATGAAAACATTCATACGATAACCTTACTTGAAAGTGACACCAACTTCGACTTCCGGAGGTTCCAATACAGGGAGTTTCTCCAATATCTTAATTTTGCTTTGAGCTTGTGGTCCTCTCTTAGCATTATATCGCCAGCGGTCAATAAAGTCTTGTAAATGTTGCCTATATTGCATCTGGCTTTCATATTCACGTAGATGATTTTTGCGGCGTTCTTCTTTTGTAGCATAGAATTGTGTAAAATTACCCTTGTAATGATCGAGACGTTCGGAATGTTGATGCAAAATATCAGTTGCTACTTCGTCCAGGAATTCTATCACAATAAGAATAAAAAAAATTGTTTAACTCATCAAATTTGTTAGAGGAAATCGATAGATAAATAGTATAAATTTGTCTTGATATTATACCTCGATCGTGAGAAACAACAAGTAATGTGCTCGGCCATTTTTTGAGGTATTGTTCTAGCCATGCGACAGCAGGAATCTTTGTAAAAATCGCGCATTGGATGTTAAAAACCAACTACGCGATGTTGTTGTAACTTCGATTACTCCATCACAAACGTTTATCTTACATCTAACATATTAGTCGGTTCGTCTAACAACAACAAATCAGGTCGGCAAAACAGTGCCCTTGCTAGTGCGAGACGCATTCTCCAACCACCGGAAAAAAATTTTGTTGGGTTTCGATGTTTATCTGCCGGAAAACCCAATCCAGATAAAATGGCAGCGGCACTTAAATTATAAATAAATCGTTTAGATCATTATGCAAACAAACACGTAACGAACGAAATAACTTTGAGATAGATAATTGAGTTTACCGTGATTCAGCCTTATCACTCTCAATTTCTTCTAGTTTTTGATATATTTCTTTTAATCTTGTATTGGCAGCATCTTTTTTTTGTTCAAGAGTAACTTCGTCAAATTCTTCAAGATTTTGCTCTAATTCACTAATTTGTAAGTTCAATAATTTCTCTTCACTTAACAAATGTTCTCTCCATATATCAGCGCTTAATACGGCTTGAATCGCAAGTGTATCATCACCTTCCATCTGTAGTGAGATCAAAAATTGAAAAAATTAATAATGAAAATATTTATAAAGATAAATGCACGAATATACCTCTTGCTCCACATGTAAAATGCTGACGTGTGTTGGCACACTAATTTCTCTTCTCGACATGGTTCTCAGTAAAGTGGATTTACCGATCCCATTCCTTCCGATCAATCCATACCTTCTGCCATAGGTTAAGGATAGATTCGCGTTTGTCAATATTCTCTTTCCTCCAAATGAGATGTCAAAATTTTCAACTTTAACATCCTTGATTTTTCCTTTGGTTGTTGTATAATCCAATATAGGATTTACTTGCATAAGGAATTCATCGTTATTCTTCTTTGAAAGCAATTTACTTGCTTCATAATTTGATCTTCGTTCACGTTTCTCCATTTTGGACTTAATCTTTGCTTCAGCTTTTTCTAATTTTTTGGTATCAACTCGGGTACTAACTTTTCTTCCACTGACAGCTTCTAAATCTACATTCTGAGCAACTAAGCCCGCTGTCGCAGAAATAAAGCTTGTTGTAAGCATATTTACCGGTTGCTCTAATTTATTAAGTCCATTGTTATTAGAAGTATTGTCTGAAGAATTTTGCACAAAAAGTTCTGATAACCTTTCGCATAGTTTTTGAATTCTTTCTTCCTCGCCACCTGCATCTACTAGAATCGGTCGAACAAAGTCTGTAATCACATCTTCACCATCACCTCCAGACTGTGTTTCGTTTAGGTAGCCAACAATATACTCAACGATGGTATCATCAATGTTAGGAACAGATTGTCTTATCAAATTTGTGACATTTGTTAGATCGACCAAAGCCATTGTGTTAAAAAAAATTTTTTTTTTGCAACTTCTAGTTTATATAGATTCTACACCAACCACGTGACGACACACAATTCAACCAATCAACGTTAGCTACGGATAGCAGATAAATATTGAACCTACCGTAAAACGCCGTATAAGGTACCCCCTTGATTTGTACCGGGTACGTTTCAAGGTCATCAGATGCGGTATTTTGTAAGATACCCGGGTACGAATCAACA